AGAGAGAGAGAGAGGAATGTATAGGCAATCGCTCCGAAGCTTGTCATGTCTATTATTGTTTGTTTTTTTCATTTTAATTGGAAACGGCATCGGTTAATAAATATTCATTTCAAAGTTGAAAAACACTTAATTAAAAAACATCTGTTAATAAATATTCAGTTCACAATTTTTTGCATTGAGAGAGGGATGTCTCATATTGAAAGGTATCAAGGGGTTCGAGAGAGACATTTAAATTGTGGTTGTATGTGTGTGTGTGAGAGAGAGAATGCTCTATTTAAATCGTGGGCTTTGTGTGTGTGAAAGAGAGAGTCATTTCAATCGTGGGTTGAAAGAGAGAGATTCAAATCCTTGTTGAGTGTGGAATCAGAGGTGGATGGAGCAAACCAACCTGGATAGGTCATCTGGTCCTTGTATGACCTGGTTTGGGGTTCCTAATTTTGGTATGATATTCGAGGGGCTTGGTATATGAGTGGCAAGTAGGCGGGGTGACCTGAATCGGGTCTGAGTCTAGGTCCAGGTGCGAATTTTGGACCAAGCGAGTCCGGCTAGCATCCAACTCACATGGACCTGAACTAGGTCGGATCCGCATCTAGGTCCGGCTTGGACAGCTATAGGGCTAGGTTTGGTCCAGTTTCAGGTCAACCCGACCCAATATTAAAATATATATTATACAATACTGAAAATACTTTTTTATTTGAAGTAGGGACTTGGGTTATATCCTGAATTGCCAACACTTATGCCATGAACCCAATACACCAAAGTTTTCAACAAAATATGGTTTTTTAGATCTGATTTTAAGTGTTTGACATTGTGTTTCCTAAATCTTATTGTGTTTCGATTATAAATCTCTAGGTTTTGTCGAATACTTTTTTTTTTTATTTTTTTCTTTTTTCCTTATTATGGATGATGGCTATCCTAGTTTTCTATGTATAAGAAACTCATACACTCATGCTAACAGTATGCCAAATATAATCTCCTCCATCACTACTTAGTGTTGGGTGTTGCAGATGAACCTTTCATCTGCTGAAGTCTGTCAATGAGAATACATCAAAACGTGGTCTCTCACAACAAACACAGGCAGCTCTTTGATATGATTATTTTCTGGTTGTCCTCACTCATACATAAATCAGTTGTAAATCGAAAATAAATGAGCTCAGAAAATGCTCCAAACCAAATCCTTGAAGATTGACTCTAGAGTGCTCGTATGAGAGAATTAGAAGTCATACTCTTAATTTACTGTATTATATCCCGATTATAAAAGTTGCATATGACATTACATTCGAAGCTACTGTAGCCGTCCATTCAAATCGACAAATGTCAAAGGGGTGCATTATGAATATCCCTAAAAAGATTACTTGAAGACATACCTAAAGTGAAACGAATTCCTCAAACACTCTGTCCGCCATGTTAATGATTCACTTTCACGGTAAAAACGAGGCTAGCTTATGATTCGTTGAGGTGACCATTTTGTCCCTCCATGAAATAGAACAATGTGAAATAAAGTTTTAGAATGGACAATGTTGGGATGTGATGCAAAAATCACATTTTATGATATTCTTCCTCTTGTTAAAGGGTATTTTTGTCACTAAAATAAGGTTCACAATGGAGGCCCATAAAAGGGTTTTTTTTATAGAGAAAAACGTGGGTAAGTGAGAGAGCTTGTAGAGAGAGAAGTTTGGA